GAGCAGCGGTCGGCGCCAGTGGGAGCGCGGCAATGGCGGCAGCGGCAGCGGCGATGGCGGCGGCATGGCCAAAGAGCAGGCCAGTGATCCGGCACTAGCACCGGCCGCGCCCCTTCAAGGCCCGGCGCCCGCCGCGCCCTCGCCCGCCGCGGCCGAAACGCCGCCGTCTGCGCGCACGCCACGGCCGGCCCCAGCGGACGAGCCGGCGGCGCACTTAAGGAGGTCGATGGGATCTGTCAGGGGCGCTGGCGACGGCGGCGATGGAGACAGGGTCGGCCCGCGCGCGAGCAGCGGCGGCCGCGCCATGCGGGCGTCGACCGGGAGCTTTGGCGGGAACATTGGCTCAGCCCGGCAGCCGGGGGAAAGGCCGCAGGCAGCTGGATCGGAGGCGCCGGCGCCGGCGCCGGCTCAAAGGGCAGGGCACGAGCCCCCGCTAGCAGCAGCTGCCACGCCACAAGGAAGAGCAGGTGCAGAGGCGGGGCGTGAGGAGAAGCAGCGGGCGAAGCGGCGAAGCACAGAGGCAGCTGTCACACTCAGGCCGGAGGCACTGGCGCCGCAGACAGAGGCCAGGTCGCCAGCAGCAGCGGGCCGACCGCACAGAGGTGTCGACGCCGCCGAGCGGGTGCAAGCGCAGCCCAAACAGAAGCGACCGCCATCCCCCGGCGAAGGCAATGGCAGCAGGCGGGTGACGGCGGCCGAGGCAGCTGCCGCTGGCAGCAGGCGGGGTCACATGAGGTCCAGGGGGCAGGTGAACGAGGAGGACCGCAGCAGTAGCGGTGGCGAGCGACAGGAGCAGCCGCATCAGCAGCGGCAGCAGGAGCAGGCACCTCTGGGACCGAGGGCAGCAGCTGCTACAGCAGTTCAACGGGAGCCACCTGCAAGGTCGGCCGGCTTTGGCGCCCTGGTCGCTTTGCTTGCCTGCAGCCTGTCTGGGTGCACTGGGGATCATTAATGATGCTTGGAATCATGGTCTCTAACCTACCTGTGACCTTCGGAGTCTGCTTGATATTGTCTGCGTTGTACAGCCGGTATGCCAAGGCACGCCGCCGCTTTTCCATGCGAAATACCGAGCTCATGGAAATGCGCATCGCGATCATGCCACCCCCCCCTGCGCGCCACTCTCGCCGGTTTGTGCGCAGCAGGCGGCGGCCCCGCATCCGCGACGCGGCCGCGGGCCCCTCGCAGCCGACATACCTGGGTGACCTGTCAGAGTGGGGGCGCACCGAGGTTGACAGCCTCTACGATGCCGAGGGTACGGGGGCTGCAACCTCGGACGTGGCAAGAGTGACGTTATGCATGCATGTTCTTAGGCAATGCATGCATGCATTGCCTGGGAACATCCCGCGCTCAAAACCCCGTGGAGGTTCATCTGTCTTTGGTAATTACTTGCAGCCTCCCTCCATGACACCCAAACACGCCCTTTTGGATGCAAGTGTGATTTTGCCTGTTGTGTTTGCCTCTCCACGCACACTCCTCCAGGCAGCGACGATCAGAGCACCATCGCCCGCACCATGTCGTCGGGCCTATGCCCCAGGGGCGCCGCAGGGGACGCGCTGCTCGCTGCGGCGCGGCCCTTCGAGCTCGGCGCGGCCCGGGAGGTGCGCGGGCACAGCAGCCTTTGGACGAGCCGCGCAGGGTGCACGGCCCGGGCAAAGCCCATGCAGACCTGCCGCCCCTCACACCTTCTTTGCTTGGGCAACCTCTTTCGGCATCCCGCCTAGTACAGCAACACGTGTTTTTGGTATCACATGCGCGCCTTGCTAAATCCAGTCGATCAGGCGGTGTGCGTGCGCTTGCAGACCAAGCGTCGTTGATCGCCCTCGCCCCCCCAGGCGCTGGCGTACAACGCGGCCCAATTCGGCCGCGCGCAGGCGCTGCGGCGCGACGGCACCGCGCCCGCCGCGCGCGGCGTGTCGGACGACCTCCCGACGCGCATGGCGTTCCAGCAGCTCTCGGTGCGTCAGATCTGGGCGTGATCTGGAAGCAGCTTCAAAAAGTTGGACCTGATAACCTGACAAGCGGAATTTCGCGTGCCACCTCACAGCAACCCTCTTCTGCAGCAGATGTTGACGCTCCAAGCGCCTGCGACCCACACCGACCAAGTGCTTGTTTACTTACGAACCCGATTGCTTCCCAAACGCCTGCCTTGATGACATCATTTGCAGGTGCTGGCGGGCATGGCGGGGAAAGTCCAGGACGCAATAGAGCACAACAAGAGGATCTTTGAGCAGCGGCTCATCATGCAGGTGCGGGCGCGTGAACAGCCCCTCGCGCGCTGAAGTGCACTGGGCGGACGCGCGTCGTGGCCTGCGAGGAAGGGCGGCGCGCGTGGCGGCGGCCGCATCGCCCTTGGTGGGGCCGACGGCTGCTGTGCACCCGCCCTGCTGGGATGGGAGGCTCGCTGATGGTGTCGCGGTGGCGAGGCGCTGTGCCGTCAAGGGGCCACGCAAGTCTTTCAAACGCCCTTCCACCCCACACTTTGACAGTCACCGGCCAGCCGGGGCGGCGCGGCCTATGACACGCCGTCTGACGAGACTGCTTTGAAACCTCTTATCCCTGATGCCGCCAAAACCTGCACTCGGCCGCCCTGCCGCGCAACACCTGCAGGAGCGCTCGCTGCTGAAAAAGGCCTTCCAGTCGTGGCTCGCCCGCCGCCGCGCGTCGGTGGCGAAGCGGCGCGTCTTGGAGCGCGCGGTGGGCCGGCTGGCGCGCGGGACGCTGCTGCGGTGCTTCTACTCGTGGCGGGAGGAGCTGCATTTGGTGGATGCCACGCTGGCGATGACGCGCAAGGTCGGCCTGGCTGACTGGCAGCTTCACCTGTCGTGTTTGTGCCGTTTTTGATACTGCCGACACCACACACAAGCAGTCGCGCAGCCGGCGGTCGTAACTTTGCATTCATTGTTCTTGCCGCTGGGTAGCAACCAGTGTTGCTTGACTGACCGCCATCCCCCGCAGCCGCCACTGCTGGTGCCGCTGGCCCACCCCGCCCCGCCGCTTCTGGCCCTGTTGCTTCGCCTCCTTGATGGGCGGCGATCGCCCATTGACCGCCTCCGCAGGTTGCCGTCGCGATCGGCCGCGGCCTGCTGCGCCGCACCCTCGCGGGCTGGCGGCGCCTGGTGGAGGAGCGCTGGTGGAAGACGCAGTGCGCGCTGCGGGAGAGGGAGGTGCAGGCGCTGGAGGGGAAGCTGCGCGGCTACGAGAAGCGGCCGGTGACGGTGAGGGCAGCGGCTTGGGTGTGTAGTTCATACTGGTCGGGGCGATGAAGGTATGGATGTGTGAGCCATGCGTCGCTCATCGGCTGCCGTGAACCGTCATCCCTCTGGTGGCGCAGCAGCACCGCGCGGTTGCGGGGATCCGGCAGCAGGCTGGCATGGCACGAGGCGCAGCACGACTGCAGGATCTTGTCAGCGCTGCCGCCGACGCGGGCTGCTCGTCTTTGTCTTCACGACAGCTGCCTGTTGGAATTTAAACTTGCTAGGCTGGCCAGCCTGGCAAGTTCAAATAAAATCCAAATTGGGTTGGGGCACGTTTGAATGCTCATGAGGAAACCCGACCCGTGCCCTGGCCCTCGCAGGTGATCCAGAAGCGGCGCCTGCGGCTGCTGCTGGCAGAGTGGCGGGCGCGCGCGGCGCACTACAAGGCGCGGCGACGGCGCGAGGCGCGCGCCACGGCTCACGCGGCGCGGGCGCAGCAGCAGCGCGCCTGGCGGTCGTGGTGAGCAACTCTGGCCCCAGCCCTGCACGGGTGCTTACGTGCACGCGCGCACACTCACATGCATGCACAGGCGCGCGCGCGCGCACACACACACAGACACACACACAGACACACACACATACACACACACATACACACACACACACGCGCGCGCGCACACACACACACGCACACGCACACATGCATGCATGCATGCACGCAAGCACGCACGCGCACACACACACACACACACACACACACACACACACACACACACACACACACACAATGTGCCTGCTGCATCATCAAAGGCTGCAAATCTCGCCCCTGCCGCGGCTGTTCCCACGCTTACTTGTCTGTCGAACAGCACTCATTGGTCCTTGCGGGGCAATGAGAGACTTGGCTACACCTCCTTCCCCGCCCATGACTGCTGCAGGGTGGAAGCGACAGAGGTGGCCGCCCGGCGGCGCGTCCTGCTGTCAAAGGCCCACAGGCGTTCGAGCCTGCTGATGACCGCGCGCGCATGGAGGGCGTGGCTATGCGCCTTGGGTGAGCGCCCGCCTGCGAGGGGCAGCAGCCAGCTGCCTGTCTCGCTGCGCAGTTGGCTTTGGGTGGCCAGCTGTTTGAACATGGAGCGCGTGTGCCACAAGCTTACAGGGCATGCAGCAGATTGCCAGCAGTAGATAGATAACAGCACGTCGTCCGAGATACACTAGGTCCTCGCGCCCGTCATTCTTGTCCTCGCCTGCGCCACCAACGTTGCGCAACACTCCGCGGGCGCGTGCTGGCTGCGAAACGCAGAGTTGCTGCGCGCGGCCGCGGAGCGCAAGCGGCGCGCGGCGGCGCATGCCGCACGCGCGCGGCAGGTCAAGGCGATCGGCGCGTGGCGGGGCTGGGCGGCGGCGCGCAGGCGGCGGAAGGCGATCGAGCGGCGATGGGAGAAGCCGATGCAGGCGCGTGGGTGCGCACTTGCGCAGCGATGTCTTTGAATCTCAGAGGAGTGCCTCCTTGTCTTCCATGTCTGCCTTACAAGGTGCCAACTATGACAGCAGAATCGACACAAGAAACGGGAAGGGTTCCCTCGGCCCCCCTTACCTTGCACTCCCCTGCCCTCAAGACAACCCCTCCCGCCGCCCGCGCGGCCCCAGGTCCGCGTGTTTGCTGCGTGGGGCGCCGCCATCGCCCGCGCCAAGCACACAAAGCTCGCGCTGTCACGCGCCGCCGCGCGGCGCGCGCGCGTGGCGCTGGCGGGCGCGTTTTTGGCGTGGGCGGGCGCGGCGCGGGCGCGGCGGGTGGATGAGAAGCTGCGGGCCCAGGAGGAGCTGGAGGTGAGTCATCGGGTCTGGGACCCGCGTAACCCTGCACAGGCAAACCATGGGGCCTGGACCCGGCGGTTGAAAACCTCGTACACCAGTGTACTGAATATGCATGCGGATGAGGCAGTGCGTGCAGCCGCCGACTGTCAGCGCTGATCACGCCCACCATCGTACTGTTGTATCTACACTTGAGTTGCAAAGGATCGAGCAAAGCAAGCCTGCAAGGCGACCGGGGGACAAAATCGTCACCAGTATGTTCCTCACTTGCGTGCACCTCTTGAACCATGCGCGCGTTTTCCCTGCCTCATCATGCATGCGTGGACGTGCATTGCGCAGGTGCGCGCCCGCGACCTGGCCGCGGAGAACGAGCGGCTGCGGCGGGACAACGAGCGCTTTGTGCGGCTCATCGACAGCGGGGAGTGGGGCAGGTGGGCGTGCGGCTGGGCGGGCTGGGAGGGGGTGACGATCGGGTGTGGGGGCCACCCCTACGGGATTGTACATGTTTATGGTATGCTCGAGTCACAGGCAGGGCCGACGCCCGCCCGCACGGCGCGCCGCCCGCTGCGTGCGCAGGGCCAACAAGCGGCCAAATAATGCAAATTTTTGCGCAATGGGGCTGCATGCGGGTGGCGGTGGCACGCCTTTGCGGCGGCCCCTGCCGGCCCCGCACGCTGGCGACCTGCTGCTGCATAATTTCCAAGCAGCCGTGCGGCCAAGCAAACACACCGCGCCTGCGCAGGGGCCGTGTGGCGGAGCTGGTGGGCGCGGGCGAGGTGCTCAAGGGGGAGAGGGACGCCCTGCTCAAGCTCATACAGGTGCGCGGGGTTCAGGGTTCAAGGCTCAGGGTTTCGGGCTCGCAGTTCTGGGCTTAGGTTTCGACCCAGATGCCCGTGCATGTTTGGAGGGGCAGGGCAGCGCGGGCGTACCCCAAGCAAGTGAGCCGAGAGGGGCACTTGGCGTAGGGGAGAGGGGCACTTGGCGGCCCCGCCGCTGACTCACAGATGCTAGGGTGCAGCGTGCGGGCGATCCGGGCACCGCGCGAGCGGAGCTTCGTCCCAGCACAGAGGCGCTCGCTGGCCGCCATTCTGTTGCCAACAGTGGGCGCCACTGCCGCTGCGGCGCCTGATGCCTCCTCTCAGCCAGCAGTGTGGCAACTCTCCACAGCTGCACAGCATTTTGTCGGCCCTGCGTTCCTGGTGACTGCCATTTGCATGTGGGCGCACCCATGGCATCTGCGCCCTGTGCGTGCGGGCGGGCGAGCCGCCAAGCAGTTGCCAACCCCCTCCTTGTGCCGCCCGTGCAGAGCCTGCGGCGCGAGTACGAGTCCCTTCAGGCGGCCAAGGGGGCTCAGGAGGACGAGCTGCGGGAGATCAAGGACAGGATGACACTGGGGGTGAGGGGCCTCATCAGTGTGTGTCGCGCTGCGCCGGACCGAGGGGCGGCACTTGGGGTGACACCTGGGCGTCCTTTAGGGGCGAGGTTCGAGTGCTCCAGTGGAGCAAGAAACTGCCAGCAGTGTCAGCCAGTGGATGGTTGGGCCACGCGTTAGCCACCAGAAGCTGGCTGGCGTCCGAACCGCGTAACCCTCCCCCTCACGCGCTCTCTTATTGTATTTCTGTGGTGCTGCAGGGCCCGGCGCGCAACAGGATGCTCGTGAAGGGCGGCAGCAGCTTCAACGCGCTGGTAGGCCGGTAGGGGGTCAAGGGTAATCTGCGGCGCGGCGAGGGGCCGCCAGCGCCTGGGGACCATAAAGCAGCCGAGCGGCCAGCCGCTGCAGCTGTGGCGCTCGCGCCGGCCGCTGGCGCTTTGGCGTCGGTTTGGAAGGGCAATGGCAACACCACAGGGCAAGAATGGCACGCGGGGGCTTGTGCTTGCTGAGCTTTTGGCCCCTTCGCCGACCCGCGCGTGCCCATGACACCTCCACTTTTCATGTACTTGCGACCATGGGGCTTGTGGTTTCTGCGTGTGAATCTACGGTAGGCACAACCCACTGACTGTGTCCTCAAAGTTGTGCCGTCCTGTGTGTGATTATTTCTTGCAGGTGCGTGCCATGAAGCAGGACTTGCTGGAAAGTGGTGCGGCCCAGCGCTCCCCTGCCCTACTCTATGAGATAGACAAGGTGGGCGGGGGGCAGGGG